CTCTCTCTCTCTCTCTCTCTCTCTCTCTCTCTCTCTTTCTCACAAACACACACACACACACACACACACACACACACACCTTCGCTCTCACTTTATGAGCTGATGAGATGAGGGAGATGATTGTCACAGACTTGTGGGACCCTGGATCTGATAACAGTTGGTTCCTGATTTCCTAAGGCCTGTGCAGTGTGGACACTGGACAGAGGGTGATTCTCACGGTAGAGTACACACTGGGAATTCTAGATTTCAGCTGTGTTCAATATGTGGAGAAAATTAAATTTATAAATTTAATTTTTTTCCTGTGAATTTTTACTTGATGCCTTCAAATCCCAGCCACATATAACTGAAGTAAAAAGTGAAAGCAGGGGTGAGCAGGGCCTCCTTCCTGCAGGGAGAGTCACATATAACACAGTGTGTCAAAAGTGCTTAATCAGAGCTGTAAAATCTCTAGTCACCTCCCCAAGCAGGTGTCCACAGCAGCCCCGCACCCTCCAGGACTCCAACAGCACCTGTTTCTGTGAACATTCATTTTAAGTGCTGTGTGTATTTTACCTGGAAACTTCATGCCCTTAGGTTTTATCCTGACTAACCCGAGGAACAGTTGGCCTTAGGCAGCTCAGAGACACCATGACACACAGCCCTCCATCCCGCAGCATAGGGCTCAGAAAAAGTCTTAGTCCCCAAGCAGGGGAGGTCTGGGTGGGGAAGCCCAGGCTGGGGATTCCCGTCCCCAGTTTCACTTCTCCAGCTCCTAACCTGGGTCAGGTCCTTCTGCCCGGACACTGATGACAACTTGGCGGTTCTCACCCCCATTGGGTGACAGGATCCCGGAGAACCAACCAGCGTCGCCGCGGTCACCTGTAATGAAGTCTCAGATCTCAGAACTCAGAGTCGCCCCGATCTAAGATGGGGGCGATGGTTCCGCTCACGCTGCTCCTGCTGCTGGCGGCCGCCCCGGCCCCGATCCAGACCCGCGGGGGTGAGTGCGGGGTCGGGAGGGAAACCGGCTCTGTGGGGAGGGCGGGGGCGGCACCGGGGAAGACGTGTCCCCGCGTGGCCCAGCCGGACCCTCCCGCCCCTTCTCAACCCGCGTCTCAAGCTCCAAGCCCCACTCCCCTCCCGGCCCGCGCGCCTGCCCGGGATCTCGGGAGCAGGGTCGGGGTCTCACCGCGCGCCGCCCCCAGGCTCGCACTCCATGCTGTATTTCCACACCGCCGTGTCCCGGCCCGGACTCGGGGAGCCCCGGTTTATTATCGTCGGCTACATGGACGACACGGAGTTCGTGCGCTATGACAGCGACGCGGAGACTCCAAGGATGGAGCCGCGGGCGCCGTGGATGGAGCAGGAGGGGCCGGAGTATTGGAAGAGGGAGACAGGGAAAGTCAAAGGTCATGAGCAGAATTTCCGAGTGAACCTGAGGACTCTGCTAGGCTACTACAACCAGAGCGAGGGCGGTGAGTGACCGCGGTCGGAGGTCACGACCTCTCCACGTCCCAGCGCACGGGCTGGAGTCGCCCCGGGTCCCTCGTCTGAGGTTCGGGGGGAAGGGGGGACCGGACCCGGTTTCCCTTTCGGTTTAGAGTCCGCAGGTGGGCGTGGCCGCGGGCGTGGGTTACGGGGGCGGGGCAGGTGGGCGGGGCTGATCGCGGGGTCCCCGCAGGCTCTCACACCATCCAGTGGATGTCCGGCTGTGTCACGGGGTCCGACGGGCGCCTCCTCCGCGGGTATGAACAGTACGCCTACGATGGCCGCGATTACCTCGTCCTGAACGACGACTTGACAACGTGGTTGGCGTCGGACACGGCGGCGCAGATCACCCGGAGGAAGTGGGAGCAGGCCGGTGCTGCAGACGGACAGAAGGCCTACCTGGAGGGCGCATGCTTGCGTTGGCTGCGCAGATACCTGGAGAACGGAAAGGACACGCTGCTGCGCACAGGTGCTGGAGCCTTGGGCAACTCCTCCCTCCGTCCTCGGTCTGGGCTCAGTCCTGAGGAAGAGGAAACCTTCAGCTGGGGTCATGCCCCTGTCTCTGAGGGCAGACAGTGTCCTGGGTCTCCTGATCCAGCATCCAGGGACTGCACTGACCTCCCAGGGCTCAGTCTTCTCCCTGGACAGTTCCACATCTGTCTCAGGAGGGAGGAGAGAGGATCCCAACATCACCAATAGTGACTCCTTCAATCTGCAGCAACTGTCAGCCATGGCCTCTCCCAGGCCGGTTTCTCTGCCCACACCCAGTGTGTGTGGACACTGAGTCCTGTCATCTGAGTGTGTCATTCCTTACACACCAGGACCGGAGTCTCCTTCACCTGACGGGAGACATGGATGCCCCTACCCTAGGCTGCTTTCCCAGTTTCTAGAACTTTCCAAAGAATACATTCTCCCAGATGCCTGTGTGTGAGGTTTGCATCCCTCCCACACCCCAACTCTGTCTCTTCCTAGTATGGTCACGTGAGAACTTACGGGAAGCCCTGGACAAATTGTGGAGGGTTTTTACTCTTCTTTTTTTTCTTTCATTCTTTTGTATGTTTGGTTTTATGTTCGAAGCTGTCATTTTCCTTTTAGTGAGTTTTTCCTTCCTCCCTGGAAGGTATTCCTTCTCTCCTGCCCCTTGTTGTATCATGTGTATCCTTCTGCACAGGTGCCATGGGGACTGACATTCTGGATAATTAGACAAGTTAAGTCAGTGAGGGTTTTTGTTTATTTGTTTTGTTTTGTTATTGTTGTTTTCTTGAGACACGGTTTTTCCATAGATTTGGAGCAAGTCAGTGTTTCCTTAAACGAGAAAGATTCCTGGGAGCTTAGACTGTTTTCTGCCAGAATTAGATATCCGGAGCCCCCTAGTTGGTCAGAGAGTTAATGCTGATCAGCAAGATGGTCACAGTATTTATGCCTCAATGGTGGCATCAGAAGTCAGTGGCACATCATGTACCTCCTTCTTCTTAGTCTCTTATTTTTTATGTGAATTTAATCACATATATAATTAATTATTTTTCATTCCTTCATCCTTTTCCTACATCTTATGCTATAGAACATCACATAAGGAAGACCATGGTGACCTGGTGGCTTATGTGGATTCCCTCTTAGCTTCTGGGTCCACCCAGAAAACTGTAAAGTTCTGTGATGAGAGGGACCAATTCTACCTGCAGGTCACTAGTGTGATGACAGAAGTGTTCAAACAGACACATAGTTCAGTGTCATCATTGATTTAACTTTGTCTTTGCAGGTTTCAGTTCATCTTGTTAATTGTGGGATTTCTTAAACATTCCACACAGATCCCCCAAAGGCACATGTGACCCATCATCCTGGACCTAAAGGTGATGTCACCCTGAGGTGCTGGGCCCTGAGCTTCTACCCAGCCTTCATCACTCTAACCTGGCAGAAGGAGGAGGAAGAACAGACTCAGGACATGGAGTTGGTGGAGACCAGACCTTCTGGAGATGGAACCTTCCAGAAGTGGGCATCTCTGATGGTGCCTTCTGGGGAGGAGCACAAATACACATGCCATGTGCACCATGGGGGGCTGCCTGAGCCCCTCACCCTGAGATGGGGTAAGGAGGGAGTGGGTGCAGAGCTGGGGTCAGAGAAAGCTGGAGCCTTCTGCAGACCCTGAGCAGGGTCAGGGCTAAGAGCTATAATCATGACCCTCACCTTCCCTTCCTGTCTTTCCCTTCCCAGAGCCTCGTCAGTCAATGGTTCTCATCATGGCAGTCATTGCTGGACTGGTTCTCCTTGGAGCTATGGTCATTGAAGCTGTGGTGGCTGTTGTGAGGAAAAGGAGAAACACAGGTAGGAAAGGGCAGGGTCTGAGTTCTCTCTCAGCCCCTTTTCAAAGTGTGCTCTGCCTCATTAATGGGAAACACATCCACACCCTCATTGCTCCTGTCTCTAAGCTGGGTCTGCTGTCAGTTCTAGAAACCTTCTAGGGTTGGGATCTTCCCTGGTCTCTCACAGCTTTTCTTCTCACAGGTGGAAAAGGAGGGGAATATGCTCTGGCTCCAGGTAAGTGTGGGGGAACAGGATTGACCCTGAGGCTCTTGAGGTGAAGCTGGAGGTGTTGGGAAGCTCTGGAAATTCTTATCTTCTCCAGTGAAATATTCTGGGGGCCTTGTTTGTACCTTGTTATGAATGTATATATTCATTTACTCTAGGCATGGATTGTGCCTACGTAGTATCTGATATGTCTCTCCCAGATTATGAAGTGACATTCTTAGACCTGACTTGGGGAGGGGCAAAGTGGATATGATTGGGTTTCTAGGGACTCTCAAATCACCTTTCAGTGAGTGGTGAGTTGTTGAGATGTTGTCTTCACAGTGATTGTTCATGACTCTGTAGCGTGAAGACGGCTGCCTGCCCTGATGCAGTGACAGAAGATGTATTCAGGCCCCTCCTCTGACATCAAGAGCCTCTCAGCTCTCTTTAGGCAACAGTGCCTAATGTTTCCAATAATTTTATGGGCTAAATGTAAAGAAGGGAGGAACCCACCTCACCCCTGCACACCAGGACTGGTGGCCCTGTCAGAGGAGCAGCAGGTGGCAATTGAAGTTCAGGATGTCTGCCCACCAGGAGCAAACTCCCTGATGCTGATTCTCTGGATAAGCAAGGGGCCAGGACCACAGGCTCCAGAATGTCTTTCCGGTTCTGCTGTGCCTTCGCAGGTTTGCAGCTGCCATCTTTCTCTGGTGTGTGGCATGGTGAGAATGGGTGTGGGGAGATCCCCACTGCCTGTAGTGTGGTGTGTTTATCTCATGGGAGCATCCCGCTCTACGAGGCGGTGTTACCTGTGGACTATCATGAAGGTGATTCCTTCCTAAGCTGTGCTGTCTGACTGATAATCATGTTTGATGATAAAATATAAACAAGGAAGTGTCACAGCTGGAACACAGGAGCTTCTATTGCTGAGCCATATAGACTGTGGCTTAGGTTAATGATTAAGAAACTACACTGAGTCCCAGTAGCCCAGCTAGTTTAGAATTTATCTTTAATCTCCGTGTTGGGAGATGTGTTCACAGGTGTCAGAGTACTTCACTGCTGAAACAAAGCCTTAGTATAGCTTCAGGTTAGATCAGGTGTTTTGATACTAATTTTGAGGTGAAAACACTGTAATCTGTATATTGCCTGAAAGATTTTACTTGGGTATATAAGCTGTAAGGGAAAGAATAAAGATAGAATTGAAAAGAGTTAAGATGTGTTAGAAGAAAAAATCATGAAGGGAGAGTTTAGCCCTGTGTGGTGGCACACGCCTTCACTCCCAGCACTCAGGAGGTAGAGGCAGGTGGATCTCTGTCAGTTTGAGGTCAGACTGTTCTCCAGAGCGACTTCCAGGACAGCTAGGGCTGTTACACAGAGATACAATGTCTCAAAAAAACAAAACAATAAAATAATAAAGAGTGAGAGAGTTAGAAGGAAAACATCAAGCACGAGAGAGAATTAGGTGGAGAACATCAGGAGAGGTAGAAAGAGAAGGAAAACATCTGGAGAGACAGAGGAACTTCCTGGATACAGATTTAAAAGAGAGAATATGGGACACAGAAGAATAAGGAGGGAAATCCTCAGGAGAGAGTGTGACTGTTTTTTCCCAAACCCTTCAGATAAAAAATACTTAGACTTGCTGACCCCGTGGCTTCCCTTTGAGTCCTGCACTGATGGAGGCTGGGCCAGGACTCTGTTGCTGTCTTCCCCTGTTCCCTTCCACAGCCAACCTTCCTGTTCCAGCAGACAGGAGGGGACATCTCCATCCTGTCTCCTCCATGCTGCCCTAAGCTGCAGCCCCTGACTTCCCCACTGAACATAAGAATCTGAATGTGATTGTTCATG